TTCACCCACTAATTTCATAGTTAATTCAATATGAAATATGGTTAAAGTGTACTGCTGAATGCAGTGGCAAGCATTTATGGTTAAAATATACTTTAATGTCAATTCTACTGAAACTTGTATGTCATGTATTTAAATATATTTGTAACGACACATTTGATAAAAGATAAAGTTGCCATTTGGTACATTTAATTAGATTAACTTTAAATGTAACACTGAATAATACTACAGTTAAAATGATAATCTAGTCTTTACATGTGCTTTAGTATGTTAGTCAGTGATTAAACATAATATTAGAAGTAAAACCTTTAGTTTGACAATATTACAAAGTGCACTTTTTTAAAAGTATACTTAAGTGTGTTAATAAACAGTCATGAAAGTTTCTCTCTAAGTACACTTAAGAGGCCTTTTATTTCATTATTATAATAGTATCTGCAAGTACAGTTATTTTAAACATGTGCACAATCAATACAATTAAGTGCTTTTTCTTTTTCATAAGGCTCCACTGAGCTATTAACCACTGTAACTTGATCACAAGAATCACAAATGCCACTACAGACATTGATGCGCCAACTGCTAAAGAGTGGGAATGTTTGCTAAAAACACAGTGACTGTCGGTGTGAACGGGGCTAAATAGTAATGATTGCATTAGCAAGCAGCACTAATAATGCTTACACAACTACTGTGTTCCATGATACGTTCAAATGATTACATATTCATGTGTTATGATACTGTACATGGAACTCCAAAAGTATTTCAAAGAATGCCATGGTACTACCATGATACAACTCCAAAGAAACTCTTTTGTAAAGACAGTAAAAGAGAAAAAGTTCCAATGACTCTGTCCTTTAAGTCGGTACATTAACACGTTTCACACGTGTCGCACATCCCTGTGAAAGATGGCGTATTACCTGTGTCACTTGAGCTCCTGTAAACAGAGCAGCGCGGCTCAGGGACTTCAGCAGCGGCCGCTGATTAATGACTCTGCCATATGAGAACTGCTTCTGTGTTTATAAAGACTTCATTGCTACTGAAGGTCAACATTAATGAGACACTTTATTTCTTTTTCATGATAGCATAGCACGGTTGACCACACTACCTTAACCCAGAACAAATGATGACAAGGACAACTAACGCTAACACTAACTATTCAGCGTTACACAGACAGCCATGAACACTCTACCCACTCACAGTGATCCAATGACAGGACCATTACATAAGCAGACAGTTTTTGACGTCAGTGCAAAGCTACAATTTTAAGTACGATACATCACTGCAATCTTCTCTACTGAATTCACTAAACTAAATTTCACTCTCTACACCTTATTAGATTTCTCTGCTCAGAGATAAAATGATGTGTTAATGGAGCAATAACAAATAAGAGTGCCCAAGATGAAGCACAAATCTTGTAAAATATTTATTTATATGAATAAGTATGGGGAGTCATACTGACTTTGCATTGTCATAAAAAGATGAAATTATCTGGCATTTTAAGAGACTTATTGACCTTGACACAGTCTGCAGGGGTCCTCTCTATGATATAATTTCCTGTTTTATGCTTTTCTGCATGTTGGTTGCATTGCATAACATGACTGTGTTGCAGGACAAAAGTCTTTTCAAATGTTAGTGAGCAGCAAAGTAGTGAATTCTTTTCTAATAAATTATTTTGAAAAATAATGCAAAACTAACAAATAAGGTTATCTTTTCAATAATGTTTAGCTTTTAAAGAAGCTTTTTTGTTTATTATTTTTGACTTTATGCCCCCCAAAAATATCAAAAATCATTCAGAAATTAATAGAAGAGATGCATTTAAGTCATTTTTAATGAATCAAAATATGTGGACAAAAATGAGCATCATGTTATGACAATATCTCAGTATTAAATCAATTTAATACAATTTAATAAAACATTTATTAAGGGACAATATTTGCTCCCTGGAGTTGATTTTCATGAGCCTTTAGTACCTTTACCTGGGCATTTTTTCTAACCATATAAAAGCTCACAGCTTGTCCTTCATTGATGTCAAACACTGTAATCAATACATTGAAAAAAAAAGATTTCAGCATCAAATGCAATTATATCCGTAAACCATGCAAGTCATAAGACTGCTATGATACATTTCTGGACATTCTATTTGTCTTATTATTTGGATGATCCAACTGCATGGCATCCCAACCACATATAATATTCTTTCTTCTGTGAAACACAAAATGAGATATTACACTCTTAAAAATAAAGGTGCTTCAAAAGGTTCTTCAAGCGATGCCATAGAAGAACCATTTTCGGTTCCACAAAGAACCATTCAGTCAAAGGTTCTTTAAAGAACCATCTCTTTCTTACCTTTTTGTAATCTGAAGAAGCTTCTTTCACCCCAAAGAACCTTTTGTGAAACAAAATGGAACCATTCTTTATGGAACCATTTAGACTAAAAGGTTCTTCTATGGCATGGTGAAGCACCTTTATTTTTAAGAGTGTAGGTAGAATGATGATTATACTGCCAAACTCTCAAAAAACAAATCCCCCAAAAAAAATGTCTGTAAAAGCATCATAAAAGTAGTCTACGTGAGCACACAAGTCATACAGACTATTTTTATGACATTTTTATGGTGTGTTTTGTAATTTTTGGAGTAACAGTACCTCCTTGTTTTCTTGTAACAGTAACTCATTCAGCCAAAAATCTCACAATAAAACCAAATTCTGATATGATATATTTATAAATAAAGAAGAGAAAACAGTGCTTCTGTGAGTGAGTGAGTGAGTGAGTGAGTGAGTGAGTGAGTGAGTGAGTGTGTGTGTGTGTGTGCAGGGGTTTGCACAATGTTAAGGCCCGCTCACACCAAGAACATTACTATAATAGTATCTATATAAGCGTCCACACCAATGGACAATATCGTTCTGTTTATTATAAGCTCAAGCTACAGTTTCACTATATGGACAAAAGTATTGGGACACCTGACCATTACACCAACAGGGACTTTAATGACATCACATTTTAAATAGACATTAATATGGAGTTGGTCCCCTCTATGGAGCAATAACAGGTTCCACTCTTCTGTAAAGGGTTTCCACTAGATTTCGGAGTGTTTCTGTGGGAATGTCTGCCCATTCATCCAGTAGTGCATTTATGAGGTAAGGCACTGATGCCGGACCACATAAACCACATAAAGGGCCGAGACCAACCCCTGAAAAACAGCCCCATGCTATTATCTCTCCTCCACCAAGTTGGCACAATGCAGTCACACAGGGAATGTTCTCCTGGCATCTGTCAAACCCAGACTCGCTCATCAGACTGACAAACAGAGAAGTGTGATTCGTCACTCCACAGAACAGGTTTCCACTGCTCTAGAGTCCAGTGGTGGCTGCTTTACTCCACTCCATCTGACGCTTGCCATTGTTTTTGGTGATGTGAGGCTTGCATGCAGCTGCTCGGACGTGAAGCTCCTGCCACACAGTTTTTGTGCTCATATTAATGCCAGTGGAATTTTGGAGCTCTTCAGTTATGGAATCAGCAGAGCGTTGGTGACTTTAGCACATCATGTGCCTCAGCACTCAGTGACCCGCTCTGACTTTACATGATCTTCCGCTTCAGTTGCTACTGTTCCCAAGTGCTTCCGATTTCCAATAAAACCACTTACAGTTGACTGTGGAATATCAAGCAGGGATGAAATTTCACAAATTGACTTATTGGCATCCTATGATAGAACCATGCTTGAATTCACTGAACTCTTCAAAACAACCCATTTTTTTCCTCCCACAAATGTGACCTGTGCTGGCAAAATGAGTCACAATGAGCAAATTAAAAAAAATTTGTTGTTTTTATGTTCACATTCTCCATTAAAAGACCCTCAGAATGCAGTATGATTTGTTGGACTCGGATGAAAAATGACCCGTTTGAAGTCGATAGAGTCAGCAAAGTCAATTTTGAGAAAAATCGAGTTAAAGTTTTCTGAAGGTTCCAAAGCAAAATCACAGAGCAACGTTGCATCTTTTCCTCCAGTTCTTCTCTTAATGATAATTACTATATTAATAATCACAACACAGCTATTTTTATTTTATCTTTGTTTTTATAAATAAGAACAGATGCAAAAAACAAAAAACAAACAGTAGAACAAATATAAGAAAGAAACAAATAATGCATTGCCTTTTTCATTTTACATATAAACAAAAGCATTCAAGTAAGAAAACCAAATAATCAAATGTAAAAATCCCTTTAGTCTGTTAATTACAAATAAATTGATTATTAAAAATATACAAAAGCAGTTCAATCAAGAGCAGCGAGTGATTCTTTTATTGTTAGATTAACATTAATGAGGCGGCCTATATTAAGACCTACTGTAATGCACGGATCTAATATAATGTTACACATCAGATGTTTTTCCCCAACAGTTCCCCGAACGTTCACTTAAAACATAACAGATTATATTTGCGTGAATACTTAAATACTGTAATTCTGTGTATACATGTATATGTATCGGGATCGCGTGCAGTCGGTGCGCTTCAGATGACAGTCAGTGCAAGAAACGAGCAGAGAAAAGCTACTCCTCTCAGAAAACGTACGAATAAAGGTAATTAAACATCTAAAATTATTATTTGGAGCACTGGGATCGCTAGACGAGGGCTTAATGAACTCATTTTTGTGAAAACCTCAAAATCAACATTTTTCACTTTTGTTTGCCTGTAGCTCAAAATTAGCCCGTGCGCATTCCGACTCATTTTGCCAGCACGTGTCACAAATATTTGTAAATGCATACTGCACGGCTACGTGCTTGATTTTATACACCTGTGGCAATGGGTTTGATTGAAACATCTGAATTCAATCATTAAGAGGTGTGTCCCAATACCTTTGTCCATACACTACAGTGTTTTTCGTCTCTATAAGTGAAGTCAAATGTTTATAAAAGCATAGTAGAAGCACATAGACCAGAAGGCAAGAATAGTAAACATATGTATTATAATAAGGTTCAGTGAGTAAACCGTTGTTACAGAGCGTGTGCATGCTGTACCTTTTCGTCGTCTTCAGTGAAAAGTGCTCCATTGGGACTCTTGTTGATGGCCTGTGTGACCCCGATGACCTCTCCATCACTGTTGTGGATGGGCATGCACAGCAGAGACTTGGTTTTATATCCGGTGAGTTTATCAATCTCATCACTGAAACGATGGTCCTATAGAAGAGGTCAAAATACAGTCACTCTCAGCTGAATGGGAGCACTTATAATAACTGTTAGGAGAAGCCAAACTAATTAGAGGTGAAGTGTGTCATTGCTCTACTGCTAGCGGCACTAAATATACAGAAAGTGACAGAAACATTACACCAGAACACTACTTACCCTACCTGGAGTAGAATATTTCTGGTCTGCACTGCTTTATAACACACTACCGAAAGATTTTTACGATTTTCTTATTCTTACCAAGGCTTTATTTTGTATTTTTGCAGAATTGTTTGATGAATAGAAAGTTAAAAGAACAGCTGTTATTTGAAACAGAAATCTTTTGTAACTTTTTAAATGTAATGTATTTATCACTTTTCATCAATTTAACACATACTTGTTGAACAAAAGTATTAGTCTTTCTTTCTTTTTCTTTAAATTACCCAGACCTTTAAATGGTAGTGTATTACAATTTCCACATAAACATGAAGCAGTACAACTGTTTTCAACATTGATAATAATCAGAAATGATTCTAGAGCAGCAAATCAGCATAATAGAATGATTTCTGAAGATCATGTGACACTGAAGACTGGAGAAATGATGCTGAAAATTCAGCTTTGATCACAGGAATAAATCACATTTGAAAATGCATTCAATAGAAAACAGTTATTTTAAACAGTTATTTATTTCACAATTTTACAGTTTATTATTTATCAAATAAATGCAGCTTACTTATTAACTATTCCAAACTTTTGACTGGCAGTGTATCTTAACAGTATTTTAACATTAACAAACATTAACATTAAATAAATCTTAACAGATTAGTTCGTTCAAATATATACCATGAAACTTTAATTCCGTTTTTACTTATTCATATTTTGAAGCACATAATCTATGTAGCTATTCATATATAATGCAGTTAATGACTTATTAATGAAAGCTATTACAAAGTGTTAGTGTTTTTAATTAATATTACCTAATAATGTTCATGCTAAGCCACATTTGCATTGTTCATGCCCATGTTTCCATCTCGTGTTTGAATGGTCTCTGAAATGCTGAGTTTACTGATATAAATAATGCAGTTTTAATGATCTGCTCTGCTTGCTAAATGAAAAGGCAAACCGATTGACAGACTAATTAGAGAACTGCGAGCTGGCATCAACATCATCATCATAGCATCAGGACTATAACTGTAGAACGGAGAGGATGAAGTATGTCTGAGCTGATCGATTCAGTAATCAATACTCAGATACTCTCACACAACTCATTATTTCACTAAGGCCTTTTATGGATCTCAGGGAATAATCAAACCAAAAACGTCACTCAGGGTCACAATAAAATACTCTCCTGTCTGTGTGACAAGTCATTATCCTTATGGGAAAATGTCATGCGAGTGACCTCGCCATAGTTGCATAGATGCAACAGTCAAAAAAATGCTAATGCTTCCTAACCCTAATTGAATTTCAGCTGGCATCAAATGAGCATCGTTTAAGAAACAAATACAATCCTACTAGGGAAGAAAATAAAAGCTAAAATGGTTTGCTGGTCTTAACTGGTTTGACCAGTCTCCCATCCTAGCCCAAAAAAACATCAAACCTGTGATTTACTGTTTATTATGATGTAGACTACGAACAGTGATATAAGATTTTTTAGAATATCCAGTGGGATCTTGCTTGATTCTCAGAAGATTCTAATTTTTTCTCCCATTAGGATTGATTCCAAATAATAACAGACATTCCATTAGCAAATCTGTGCACATCTTTAAACTAGAAACAATTATTTTATTCCTGCTTTACCTGTTACGCATCAAGAATGTTTGCTGTTTCCACATCAAAAGTGATCTCACTAAACATCCTTCCTATTCTATCTGATAAGTAATTATTGATATGGTCAAATGTAATGTGACTGGCCTCTCAACAGATGCCCCAAAGTTTAATAATCCCAGTGGAATTTCTGTGATAAATTGGAAAAATTTTAACAGATCAAAGTAAGAGTTACTTGACTATTACTTTGGAGTTATAGAAATTCATCTGGGGTTAGGAGGTTTTAGGTACTTTTACTACTGTCTCTCAGTTTACAACATTAATTTTTCTTCATCCAACAGGATCTTTTCACTATCAATAGCTGTCAAAACTTTCCTGTCTATGTGACAAGTAATGATCTCTATGGGAAAATGGAATGTGAGGGATCTCACCATGGATCCTATTGTATAGTAAAATAATTGTCCTAATCCCAAAGGAATTTCTATCATTATTTGAAACCAATCCTTAAACAAAACATGAAAAATAGGAATTTCACTTAAGATTTTTTGACTATTGACTTAACTCCCTTTACATCTGTTCCAAATTATCACAGAACTTCCATCAGCAATGTCTTTGTTTCGTATTTTATACCTGCTACACTTGATAGGCCTTGGGAATGTTGAGTTTCACCACCAATATAAGTACAATACATTCCTGTCTATCTGATAATTTATTATCCATATGGGAAAATGTAATGAGTCCAAAAAAAATACCTTAGGGTTACCCTCATCCCAAAGGAATTTAGATCATTATTTGGAACCAATCCTTAAAGGAACACTCCACTATTTTTGAAAATAGGCTCATTTTCCAACTCCCCTAGAGTTAAACAGTTTTCCAATCCATTCAGCCGATCTCCGGGTCTGGCGGTAGCACTTTTAGCTGTAGCTTAGCATAGATCATTGAATCTGATTAGACCGTTAGCATCTCGCTCAAAAATGACCAAAGAGTTTCTATATTTTTCCTATTTGAAACTTGACTCTTCTGTAGTAAGACCGACGGAAAATGAAAAGTTGCGATTTTCCTGGCCGATATGGCTAGGAACTATACTCTCATTGCGGCGTAATAAACAAGGAACTTTGCTGCCGTACCATGGGTGCAGTAGGCACAATGATATTACACAGTGCCTGAAAATAGGCCCCAGCACACTCCCTGTGCAAGCAGGTGGTCACGTTGGTTATGTTGACGGAAGTTAGCCTATTTTCAGGCGCTGCGTAATATCATTGCAGCAAAATGCATCACAAAAATAGTGGAGTGTTCCTTTAAGTATATGCATCAGGAATGTTGAGTTTCATCATCAATAACTGTCTCCATAAAATACTTTCCTGTCTAGATAATTAAAACCCCTTAAGTGCCACCGGCCCACAGGTGGGCCCAACGGCAGTCTTTTTTTGTTGTTGTATTTTTTCTCTATCACATATTTTAGTAATCATCATAAATTATATATAATTTGAAAGCTTTAAACCTCAGAATTCATTCTGTGAAACCCATTTTAAAATCGGACATTGCTTTACCATGGAAATTGTACTTTAAAATATTTTAGCGGTCTCCTCCCCTTAGTGGGTGAAGTCAAGTGTCATATTACAAAATGTATTACGGTCTTTTAGAATCAAAAGTATGTATAATCTTGACAAAATACATATATTTGGAAAGGTCTGAGTCTCAAGATTCCATATTTGGTGGTTATTTTTTGATAGAAGTAATATTGACAGATAAATTTAGACCTTTGTGACAGAAAAATGCATCAACAAAAATTCTATAGAATCCGGTGGCTGTTTGTGGTATAACGCCCTAAATAAAATCTCACAGGAACCTCAATCTTTTTTTGTCAACTTCAAATTTGGAACATAAATTATTTAGACATAAGGCTTTAATTTTATATCAATTTTGGATTCAAAAATATTTTGTAAAATATTTACTTTATATAAAATAAAAAAATTGGTACAGTGCATTTTATTTACAGTACATTTAAACTTCTATAACTTTTTGATACTTTAATATTTTGAAATGATTCCACTTCTGCAGTAATCTGCAGATTGTCTTCTTAAAAGGGAGTTCAACCTTAGTTCTGTATTCCAAAGTTTTCATGAATTATAATAATTTAAGTTTGGATAGTGCACTTTCACGTCTATGTTCAAAAATGGGGGGTGGCACTTAAGGGGTTAATTTTCCATCTGGAAAATAGATGTAATGTGAAAGACCTCACCATGGATCCTATAGTCCAGAAAAACTAATCTAAGTTTTCCTAAACCACCCAGAAGTGCTGTAGGAGTTCTATAAAAATGAATTGAAATGAATGTGAATTTCACTTTATCCAGCAGGATCTTATTTGACTGTTATTTTGATCCCTTTATAACTGTGGCTCCAAATTAGTCGTGTGCATATCCTTAATGATTTTGTTTTGGACAAGAAACATTTTATCCCTGCTTTCACCTGATATGCATCGGGAATGTTGACAGTTTCCCCATGTTCAGCCACATATCCAATGATGCCCTTTCCCCAGGGCACCTGCACCTCATCTGATTATGTGAAAGACCTCACCATGGATCCTATAGTCCAAAAAAACTAATCTAAGTTTTCCTAAACCACCCAGAAGTGCTGTAGGAGTTCTATAAAAATGAATTGAAATGAATGTGAATTTCACTTTATCCAACAGGATCTTATTTGACTGTTACTTTGATCCCTTTATAACTGTGGCTCCAAATTAGTCGTGTGCATATCCTTAATGATTTTGTTTTGGACAAGAAACATTTTATCCCTGCTTTCACCTGATATGCATCGGGAATGTTGACAGTTTCCCCATGTTCAGCCACATATCCAATGATGCCCTTTCCCCAGGGCACCTGCACCTCATCTGATTTACTGAGAGAGGGCAAAACTGTGGTTCCAGCATGAACATCAAAGAACTTGGACACCAGAGTCTTTTTATTGGCTGGTCCCTCCACCAGGAACAGGGAGCAGCGGTCAGCATCCACCATGATGCACACAAACACCAGGATCTTGTAGCTGAGACTGGTCAAAACCAGGTCGTTGGAGATGTCTTTGACGAGCTCCAGGAAGAACTCCCTCTCGTTGTGCTCCTTCAGGTAGTATTTGTAGTCTACGGCGGTGGAGGGGTACTGAGGGATGTTGACCCGGGACTCCAGCAGCGCGGAGAGGATGTGCGCGGTGGTTGGCGGCAGAGAGCTGGCTTTACGCAGCAGCGCGCGTCTCCTCATGCTGGTCAGCGGCTCCTGGGCTCTGGAGTTAACGTGTTCGTCGTAAGTCCTGTTGGCGTTGATGGCTTTAGACCTGGCGAAGGTTTTCCGCAGCTCTTTCTGCGACGCTCGTCTCTGCAGCCCGTCGCTTCTGCTCGCCCAGCTGTCTTTGCCGCACGCGTTCGCCGCTTTCTCCGCTTCCGCGCTGGAGTTCGCCGGAGTTTTAGTCGCGTTGCGCTTCTTCAGCCACTTTTCCACCATACTTGCCTTGCCTTTTCTGTTCAGATAGTCCTCTAATAATTCCGGGTGCTCGTCTAGAAAACTTTCAACATCGGAAAAGACCATATTTGACCCTGCCATTGCTGCCGCTACGGTCATCTGTAAATAAAATGAGAGAGACGCGCGTGTTGAACGCTCATTTATGTGAGTGCAGAGCTGAACGAATCATTCGCAAACTTAAGACAACAGATCCTCCGCGAGAAGAGCGGACGTGGTCCTCGTATGTTCAGCGTTCATTCTGTTTAAGAATGTTGCGATCCGGCGGCTCCGTGCGCTTTCGTTCATTCTAAAGCAGCGCCAGTGAGATGATGCGACAGAGCGCCTCGCAGGTGCACCACTGACGACACGATCACGCATTCCTCCCTTCATCCTCTTCTGAGTCCTTTCATAACTGGGGTGTTTTATTATAAGGGCGCTGGGAAATGCAGTCTTAATGGCTTTTCAAAACTTTCGTGATTATTGTGATTTGGTAATCAATGTCAGTATTGTATTCCCTTAAATTATTACATATAGCTATTAGTTAAAGAAGCCCTTCTATTTTTGTTAGATGTGCACAAGTCCACATTCCACTATTAATATCACTAATTCAATATTAATATCACTAATATATGTATTCAATAATTCAATATTTCCCTAAATTTGCAGCTCCATCGACCTCTAGTGGACAAAGTGAGTTCTGAAACTGTCCAAAAGCATGACCAACATCCTTGAAATCTAATTTTCTCACATAAATAGAAGTGAGGGGGGTTCCTTGGGCAGGCCTTCAGTAACTTAAGCTCATACACTCTTAAAAAAGGTTCCAGGTTTTTCTTCTTCTCAGCTTTCAGTGAACCGTTCTTAAAAGAACCATTTTTTTTCTTAGTGTGGAGAATATTTTAATAATCTAAAGATAGAATGTAGACAGAGTTCATAAAGGACATCAACTTGCAACTGGGGCTTTCCTCAGCGGCACCTCATAAATATCCATGATAGTAATCTATGTAAGCCTCTATGTAAGCTGTCACTAAAACATAATTTTTCCCATTGCGTGATATTAAAAATCCGGAAACATACAAAATGCATAGGGCTGAGTTATTAGTATGCACTCATGCACTTATCACGTTGCCACATCACTTTACGTCAGTCGACAGTATAATGAAGTCTCTGCTTGTCATTACATCGTTCCCCTAACAGTAGGAATTTCAATCTACAAGAACAAATGGCAAGTTCAGTGCATAGGCCTATCACAATCTGTCTATCACAATCTTTGAACTAGCATTTTTTTAAATTACATAATGCCTTTAAGCCCATTTTATTACAGGTTTCCTATATTTGCGTCAAATTCATTTATCAACCTGTTGAATCATGTTAGGCCGGAGTAGAACATGTGCTCTTCTCTGGCCTTTATGTGTTCTACAATAGCATATCAAATACAAAGCATAGCGTTCATGTGGTAGATTCTCTTTATTCTTCCTGCATATTTTTAATCACTTTACTGAACTCTTAATATTGGAGTTTTAGTATTAATCCCTTTCACTTGGCGCCATGCGGCACATTTCCTTTTTTTATGTATCCAGTATAATTTTAAGAAACTTATTTATCTAAGTAAATAAGTACAATTTTCCCATAAATGCCACAGCGCCATCTATCGGTTATAAGACTGTATGTATTAAGGGTTTGCAACAGCGATTCAATGGGAAATGGAGAGGGTAAGTTTCACACTTTGAGAGCTCCAAAGATTTATAGGTAAATATGTTTAAAACACAAACATTATTTTCCTACTTTTTAGTATTTTTGTGTTTAATGTCAAATTATCAAATTAATTGAGCTCGGTTTTCATAAAGCTTAATTATGATCCACTAGATAGGGATATTTCTACTACATTAAGCTTTGTTTGGGCTGATCTGGGTATGATGACAAGTGTGTGTAGAAATTTTGATTACCTGAGGATAACATAATGTTATAAAAATGCAAGTAAAGTTTTTACTAAGCTTTTCTACTATTTACAAAGCACTGAAAAATGTCCAGCCATAAATATGTATAAATATATGAGAGTATATTTGCAGCACATTTCAGTAAATGTTAACTCGTGTTGTTATGTTGAGTACATTTATAGTAGCATTAATCAGTTTTCTGAGCTTAATTTTGGCTCCATTAACGTCGAATACATTTATGTGCTACTATTGTCATGGCTTACTCGTATCCTAATGTTATCTTAAAAGATTCACATATGTCTGACAAAAAATGACTAATAATAAATGCCAGCCACTGCTCATACTAAAATAACCCAAAAAAGAAGTTGTCAACACTAAAAATGCTAAATACACAAGGCAACCAAATGCACTCAACAAAACAATTTATATAATATATCCAGGAGAGGGTAGGTAAGTTTTTTTTTTTATTGGTTGGGCAGTCTTCATTTCAACTTACTTAAGGGTTTAATAGTTGGTTTAGCTTAAGAACTTAAGTGCTCAGCTCCTTCAGCATCCACACAGAGCTCCTCACAGTCTGGAGCAGAGGATCAAAACACTTAATCGAATGGCGGCCATTAGTCCATGATCTCTCTCTGTAGGTGATCAGGAAGCTGTTCTCTGCACTTCCTGTGTCACTCCTGCTCACCCTATACAAATAATCAAAAGCATTTATCCTAACAAGACAATCCAGCCATGACTGCTGTGAATCAGATAAGTGTGTGTCACTGGCCACCTGTTCAGTGTAACCAGGGGTGGCACTAAATGTCATCTAAACTGAGTCGATCTGACACCGATGCACCGAGACACCAGTGGATCAGCTGACGGCACTCTGTTACACACAACACAGTCTTCAGAAACACAACAACACACTTCACCTGGATCTGGACGTGATTTCTATCTCTTGCCTGTAGACAGCTCTCTAGGGAAGTGCAGTCTGCTTTTGTAGGTGACCCTCCATGCACCTCTGAAGGGGAAACAAGCGCACAGGATGTTGTAGAGTGTCACCCCCACTGACCAAACAGTAGCCAGTCCTGCATGATAGCGGTGCTTACGAAACCACTCAGGAGGGGCGTATTCAAGGGTGCCTGAGTGACCCAACAAGACCACAAACATCGTCTGAAAAGATTCCAGTCCAAACTGATTCCCTTTGGCTGATCGTCAAAAGTTCACAAACAAACACAGACCAACCTGCAAAGGAGTCTTTTAGCAGATTTCCACAACCGAAGTCCAGCAGCTTGATGTCATGCGAGTCTGTGGAGATCAGCAGGTTCTCTGGTTTGACGTCCCGGTGCAGGACTCTGCGGCTCTTGCAGTGTCTCAATGCGGTGATCAGACAGCTGCAGCAGGACTTTCTTGGCCAGACTCTCATCCAGACATCCGTTCTCCTCACAGAAACTCTGGAGATCTTGGCAAGGAACCGGACGCTCCAGGATCAAGGTGTAGCGTCCGGGACGGTCAAACCACTCCAGCAGCTGCAGGACGTTGGGGCAGGCAGGAGCTGAATTGACCAGTGTCATCAATGCCACCTCCAGCAGCAGCCGACCCTGACCTTACTGCAGGACAAACGCTCCATTATACCCAGCGCTGAATGCAGATGAAACAGAACAACAGATTCACATTGAACTTACAACTTTCAGCCTCTTTTGTGTGCTGCTTTTGGAGATGTACTTGATGGCAACCTGTAGACAGATGTAAATCACACTGACTAATTTTTTACAGATGATATTTACTGACATCAATATTTCTAAAGTCTGTTTGAATAAAGAAAGGAAGAAACTGTCTTACTGGCAGTCCATCAGACCTGCGGGTCCCAGCATATACAGAGCGGAATCCGCCTCGCCTCAGCAATGGGCCCTTTGCATACACTTCTGCATCACACAAGATCACAAGAAACGTCTTTAACAGAAAACATGCTGCTAAACCTGTACTATAATTCAGCTGAAGAACATTTTCAGTGACAAATCCTTTAATAATGGAGTCATAAGGTCTTTAATATCAGTCTGTTCTGACCTCTGCGAGAGCGTTTGGCTGCTCTTCTATATGAGGTGGACGGACATTAAGCCTCCTGGCTGCCACTCTGCCACTTCCTCTTCCTGTGAGGCTGATCTGTGGACTCAGAAACGGCCAAATCGGAAGGCAGAGGTGCAATATATCCAGGCAGCTCTTGGCTCAGTGGCTGGTTGGGGTTTGGCAGCAGTTCCTGAGCACCATCACCAGAGCTGTGTCTCCCAACCTCCTGAGCAGCCGTCTGGGTGAAAGCAGCACTCCTGGATCTGGAGCGGCCTGTTATATTCACACTGCCGCCGTCGAGAGCATCAAAAAACGCTCTGGCCACCCTGCCAACAACGCTGTAGAAAGATTTGTGGACGCTCTGACATAGATCGAATGCTTATCATGTATTTAAAGGGGTCGCAAAGCAAACAAGCTTGTTGATCTTGTGCAGACTGACCACATGGAGGGTAATGTTATAAGTTATACAGGTGCATCTCAATAAATTAGAATGTCGTGGAAAAGTTCATTTATTTCAGTTATTCAACTCAAATTGTGAAACTTGTGTATTAAATAAATTCAATGCAGACAGACTGAAGTAGTTTAAGTCGTTGTTTCTTTTAATTGTGATGATTTTGGCTCACATTTAACAAAAAAAACCATCAATTCACTATCTCAACCAATTAGAATATGGTGACATGCCAATCAGCTAATCAACTCTAAACACCTGCAAAGGTTTCCTGAGCCTTCAAAATGGTCTTTCAGTTTGGTTCACTAAGCTACACAATCATGGGGAAGACTGCTGATCTGACAGTTGTCCAGAAGACAATCATTGACACCCTTCACAAGGAGGGTAAGCCACAAACATTCCTTGCCAAAGAAGCTGGCTGTTCACAGAGTGCTGTATCCAAGCATGTTAACAGAAAGTTGAGTGGAAGGAAAAAGTGTGGAAGAAAAAGATGCACAACCAACCGAGAGAACCGACCAAGCTACTGTTATAAGCATGACCAGCCCCGTCAGACTGGTCGTGGCGGCGGTGCTGCAACTCCTTCCTGCAAAAAAAGATCTCTATGAAGAATTTCAGTCAGGTTTCAGGCCCCACCATAGCACAGAAACTGCACTTGTTAAAATTACAAATGACTTGCTTCTTGCGTCAGACCAAGGCTGCATCTCATTGCTAGTTTTACTTGATCTTAGTGCTGCGTTCGACACTATAGATCAGCGGTGGCGAACTCCGGTCCTGGAGAGCCGCAGCGCTGCAGAGTTCAGCTCCAACCCTAATTAA